TGCTTGATGCAGAAATAGTAGAATCAGAAATATTGGATTAAAAAAAGTGTGGATTACAAGACAGAGAAAGCATTTAAAATGGAAATACAAGTGACAGGCCAAGAGAATGACCTGGATAAGGATATACAAAAGAAGCTGGCTGAAGTTTTAAAAATTAAAGGAGAAATGCAAATAATAAACCAGAAGAATGACCTGGATGTCTTTTTATTGGATTTATAAAAGAGGCTTGTTCAAGCCTTGAAGAAACCTATTTGATGGTACAAAGAAGAATTGAAGAGAAATAAAATCCTACAACGATATTCGAATGAATTGAAGATTAAGATTTTCAGAAGTAAAAGGAATATAAGTTGGTTTATTTGATAAAATTTAAAATAAGACGTTTTTATGAAATTCTGGCAACCCTTTGTGGACTTTTTGCTGATACCAAGATTGAAAAGTTGATGTCTTGTGGATTTGCTTATAGATAAGGGATGGTTATAGAAGAAGAGGTTATCTGTTTGTAACCTTATTGGGGGCAAAGAGCTATCAAACTTCTTTATACTTGTGATGAAAACTGAAAGTCACTTCTTTATACATTTCTTTTTCTTCATTTCACTCTTCCCCTTTTTCTTTTTCTTTCTTTGCAGTTTTTACTGTTTTACTTTCCTTTCTCTGAGTTTAGTTTGTATTAGTTTTTATTACTGTAATTAAAATCTTCAAACATGTATATATGTGTATAAATAAATAAAAAATGAGCTTCCATGGCTGAGAGTGAACTTGGGTGTCCCCCATCCTGTCCTTCAACCAGTAGCATCCACGCAAACTGTAATGATGTCAAAACGAAGACACACGTGGTATCATCTTGCAAAGGCCACAGCAAATGCACTTACAGTACATCACACCTCATCATCAGGCACATACAATTCACCCCCTTTCCCCCTCCTTGCTGACACCCACGTCTTCCACCATTATACCACACTCTTACCAATGAATTTCGGTTTTTCAAAGGGGAGCAGGGAGAGATGCTGAGACTGTTTTTTATGACTCAGAACAGCAAGGATGCACCCAACAAAATCAAGGGGTCTAGAATTTTTTGCAATCTAACACAAATTCTCAATAGCAGTCCCTGTTGTTCAAGCAACACCATCTCCTGGCTGCCACACATGCTGCTCTCTGGGAAGACTCAAATGACAAGGCTGCAGCGGATAACTGATTATGAAAGCAAAGGTATTTCTTACTGTGCCAAGAACAATCCTCCAAAGACCAAAATCTATCAGAAATTGTAGAGCCATAGGACGATAAAAGACATACATCTCCATCTTCCTTGGAAAAGAGACAAATCTGAAAAAGAAATGGATTTGTGCTACTTGCCGAGTTACAGTGATTTAATGGCATTTATTACTTTGAAGAGACACAGAATACACACGCTTTATTAACAGTGTAGACCTAGTATAGGAAACTTGATTGAGACATACATCTTACAAGCTACTGCTAGAACTGGATGCACTTTGGACATGAGATCTGGCCACTTATACAGAACTAAAAAATATATATTGGGTCTGGTTTCAAGTATATTGCTTCATGAGCTGCACTGGCTCATCGTACACTTCCAAGTGCAATTCAAAATGCTGGTTGCCATCTAAAAACCCCCACATTGTATGGAGCTGGGTTAGTTGTGGGACTGACTTTCTCCAGTTGCTCCTACCCATCCTATGAGGCTGAACAGATACATGCTGCAGGTCCCATCAACTGAGAACTGTTCACAAGCGATAAGCTGTTTTGTTTGGTACATCATCTCTAGCATTCCTTGAGCTGATAAGCTGTCCAAAATTATTCTAAATAAGCACAGAACCTGATTTGGATACCCACTGTCTGCCTTCCTAATGCATCTTTTTTAAAAACAGCAGCAGGAAATAGATCTTCAAGTCCAGCTCAACTCTTGGTAACTACAGTACATCCATGCAACTTTCTTTGTGGCAGAACAGAAGCAGTTTGCCGATACCTTCTGGGATTTTATCTCCCAGTCTAGTTGCAGCCCTGGAATCCCCAGGGGGCCTCCCCTTTGGGGTCTGACCATGCTTAGCTTCCAGTTCAGCTACCATCTGCAGCTTAGTAGTCTGGAACAAGTCATGGGTGCATACACTCCCTCCTCAACACTGACGTCCAAATCTAATTAGAAAGCAATTGGCTGAAATGTGTAAAACAGAAAACTTCGGTTTAAAATCCTTGTTCATAAGCCAACATTACAACAGGGTTCCCATTCAAACTATAGTTTAACAAAACTGGGTTGCGAATGCAAAGGAAGGGAAGAGGTGCAGGCCAGTTTCAAGGATGAATCATGAAGTCTCTGATACTTATTTTCAGTTGCTGAGCTAGGAAGGCAGGAACTAAGCATCTGGCCAGAGTAGTTGTGCAGGAGCAAAATGCTAGCTACCTGGGAGGTTAATGGGAACTGAAACCCAGCAGATCCTGTCACCACATGTACTGCTTACGGATGTGATTCAGACCATACAGCCCAGGAACAGTCACTGGATTTCATTTTCTACAACGGAACATGATGGAAAAGCTGATCTCTCAGTAAGGCCAATGTGTCTATACTAGCAAGGTCACGTTTGTGCGGCAAAAGGCTAGAGGACTCTCTCCCAGAGAATTTCTGGGTCTACACATCCTGGTTCTGCCTGCCTACCTTGTAGTTATTCCTACTAACCCTTATTTTTCAGGGGGGGATGCATTTATTTGGCATCCTCCCCACAACTCCAATATGTCAGATGGGGATCCTATGACCTTTGTGTCTTGCAATTAAAATTAAAAGCAGCTAATAAAAATGAAATCAATTTTATAGCACCACTTCCTGGGTCTTTAGTGTTGAAACCTGTGACTAGGGAAATCACTCCCCTCTCTCCTAGGAGACAGATAAATTTCTCAAGGTATAGGCAAAATTAATTTTATTAAAAACAAAGTTAAAATCTTTTTAACTTTAAGTAATCACATGCAAAACAATTGGTGGTGGAAGAGATAAAAATAGAGAATTGTGAAATCTTCAGACAGCACTTCAAGAGAATCTGTAATGGAAAATATACGTAAGATTCTGAGCAGACCAATAAATAGATAGTATTGCTTTGTTATTTGAGACACACAAATCACTGAGCTTGCATAGAAAACCTATAAATCAGAGGCAATGTATATCTGAAACAATGAAACTTAAATAGTTGCACACATTCCAAAATAAAAGTAATCTTACCCAACATTTCTAGCTCAAACGTGTTATTCCTTAGGGATACACAGACCACTACAGCAGATTACTGCTTGCTTCTCTAGATCTTTCCAGATTCTAGGAGATTCCAACCTTTAATCAGAATCTTAGGAGCAACATCCCTTAGTTGTTTCCTAGCCCTGGTACACTGCTTCTCCAGTAGATCTTTTAAAGACAAAAGCTTTCACTCTACAGAAGGGGAGAGGCTGGGGGAATGATCCTTTTACTACATTCTGTAATAGGCATCCTTCCTCAAGGACACCGTACCTGAGACAGCTGAGTATGCACTGGGAAGCTTCCAGTCTAGGTGACATAGATGATAATGTGACTTCATAGCAGGGTCTTTATCCCTACTGCTCATGCCTTCTTTGGCTAGTGAAATAAGCTTCAGAAACTGGAGATGGGCTTTTAGAGTCCAAAGAACACTGAAGGATCCTGAAGAGGACTGAAGCCTCTTGCAGACAGGGCCTCTGCTCCAGCATCTTCTCTCCAGTGATGAAAGCAAGTCCTTCACACCACGGAGCCAGTGATGGCAGCTCCTGCCTTTGGCATTTTCTTTTTTGCCAAACTTTTTATTACATCTCGGAAGCAAGGAAAGAGGTTGTTTTCTGTCAACAGAGAGAAAAACTCAGCTGAAAGTTTCAGAAAACTTAGTCATCTTTAATTAACTTGTAGTGTAGTGCTATTGTCCATTTTCCCAAAGATGTAAAATGGTGCACCCCACACCCCAACATACACACACACTGTAAGATTAGTATAGCCCACAATAGCTCTATTTTCTTTTTCCTCATATTTTTTCTATTAATTGTTTAGTTATCTTTTGTTTTTTGTTTTTTTAAAAAATCTGTATCACTGGAAGTACGGCCCTTCCCAAATAGAAGAATGAGAAATGTTTCTGTTTCCCTGTATAGTTTCGTTTGACTCTGTAAGCAAAATGCCTTAATCCTGTCTTATGGAATGAGGAGGAACACTATCCAGGATTCTTTCATCTACAGTAGGGAAAAGCAAAATGCATATATGCACATACACACCCGTAGGTTCACACAACACACTAACTCATAAACAAAACCATTTGAGCACAATATGCAAATCCAGCCACTTGCTCATTCATTGGGGCTAAAAGTAAGCATATTCATTCAGAATTTTTAGAAATTCAACAAACCCTGTTGGGTGAATCGACTGCTGACAGCTGTGTACAAGAAGACTGGGTATAAACATCTAAGATAAAGTTGACCTAGGAAAAGGGACATCTGAATTTAAATAAGCACATCTCTCTTATTTCTTCCACACTTTGGCATTGCATGAAATGAAATACAGTGCATAACTTTTAGCCTTCTAAGTGAAATGTTAATGCAACAATAGTTCAGAGTTTATCAGCAACTAACACCTGCTTCGGTTCTCATTTTATCTTGGTGCAGCCTGAGGAACCATTTTATAATACTCCCATTGAAGACTTTTACATGCTGAACAAGTAAAACCTTACAAAAATGTTCAGGAAAATCTTTCTCCTTTAGGCAGGTAAGCAACACCTTCCGCAACGGAGGTTGTAACAATATATTATAAGGATGAATTTTCATAATATCTCTATTTGTGAAATCTTATTTAACTTCCCATTACATACACATTTGAAATTTCCCCAATTAACTAAGGTGGCTGCAGCAGGCTTCTTTCAGATGGCTGTAGCTGAAGGGCTGTGTTCATTCTAAATATTCAGAGTTACAAAGAGTAGGAATGAACAGCCTACCTCAGCACATGACTCAGTGCATGGCTATCACTGGCATTATTTCATCCACGTTGATGAATTTAGCAATTAAAAATTGATGGATGACTGTATGCCCCCAATAATTTTTATTATTTGTCATGAAGTACCCAGCCCTGTGTTTCTGCTAGAATAATGATTAATTGACCTATTTAAGTTCATGTGAGTAACTAAGTGCAGCTGGTTATTTCCCATTCTGCTGAGTGAACTAACTGGCTTCAGTCATACAGGGATGAGGCTGAAGTTGGGTATTTATTTACATAATAAATTCAGATGAAAACTCAGCAAATAAAGTAAATGTAAACCTAATCTTTTTGTAACACTGGGTCTACATTTGAAAAAGAATTACTCCATGTGATACATCTGTAATGAAAGTGCCCTTCAAGGTAAACAACAGTGCAATATAATTAAGAATGCCTTTGAAAAAAAAATATTTCTGAGTTTTATATGCTGCTCAATCCACCAGAAAAAGCTCTAAGCGGTTTACAAATACAACAGATAAAATAACAATAACATAACAATTAAATTCAACAATAATACACATAAAAATTTCCTATGCGTCATCAGCAGAGAGAAGACGAAGGTTACATCAACTGCTAATGGTAAGAAGGGGACCCACTGTACCATCAATCCCAACGACTTTGCAGAACAGCCAGGTTTTAGCAACTTTCCTAAATGCCAAGAGGTAAGATAAGGTATACCGGGGGACTCCAACACCAAAAATAAGGTCCAGGAGTTCAGGTACGGAAGTTGCCATGCAGGGTGAGCAATACAAGAGTGATCCTAACTCCAGACACAAGGCCTCTCACCCAGTTATCTGAGGAACTGTGCCTCTGGTCACCAGCAGAACTTTCTGCACGACTATTGCCTCCTCCCCTGCCTTGGGTTCATGGCTGGTATCAAACCCAAATGGGCACATTTCTGAGAATGGGACACCCTCCCCTTCCCCATTTAAGTCTTGGTCACACATACCAGGTCTGCCCTCTCATTCACAATTAAATGGATGAAGTATATTACAGGAGGACCTAGCATTTATAAGCACTGGCCAGAGACTAAGGCCTCCAGTCTTGATTTTTAGGAAGAGGGTGGGGGAACAAAGAGGGAACCGGCTTCAAATGATCATGCCTATAGGCGATATCATCCCCCTTCACCCATGACTTCCCTCTTACCTCTCATAATCCACCACATCTACCCAGCCATTTCTGAGCTACACTTGATAAAATCACATAATGCACCTACTAGTAACTGGTCTCATTATCTACTTGTTTAATCTATCTTATCATCCAAGCAGCCAGGTAACCTCCTACTTCTCCTTCCCAACTAGCTCTGTTGTCCCCTAAGACTGGTGGGGAAAACTGCTCTCAACCTTGTGCATTAGGAACTCCATTCCAATGACCCTCTTCAGATCATCTGGGGGAGATGTCTCTCATTAGCTACCGTAAAACCCAGTCCAACAACACCATGTTTTATTCTTCTTTCCTTCCAACTCTCTTATTTCTTCCTCTAGCAAACTCTTCCTCTTATCCTCCATCTTCTCAGACTCTCCCACAGCCTCTCAAAATTGAACAGTTCACATGGTTAGGTCTTCCTCTTTATCCAGGGTGACTCACGTGAGTCCTGAAAGGAGGCCATCTCTCAATGACTGTCTTAGGAGGGAAGCACAGACAATGACATGATGGTAGCTCAGGCACATTAGATGCAGTCAGACATAGCAGTCACAAAGCTCAGGAAGACCTCAACAAATCATCTGAAGTACCCAGCCTTGCTTCTGTTATTGTAATACTTAACAACCTCATTTAAAAATTAGATTTACAGATACAAGACAAATTCATTTTTGGCCACCCCAAATCAGATAATTGTATGTTGTACAGACTTCATGTCCAGCCCAGAGCTTTCTGTCCATGCATGATATCAATAGTGCTGCACCAAGTCAATTCTGCTCAAAATAGGTAAAAGTTACTGGGGCTGTGTACCCAAAACTTATTCAGATTATGCTAACTCATATACCCATATGCCCAGATGACTGACCTAGATAGGCTGAGACTACATCTCATGTAGTCCAAACTTTTCTATATACACGTAAGAATTAACAGTAATGTACAAGACTAGTTGAAGATTGATGTTAACAAAACACATTCCTTAATTATTTTATGAGAGTTTATGTATAAGCATATTTTTATTTTAGAAACAGGAAATGACTGCTTCTATTATTTCAGCAAAGAACAGCATACCACTTATCAAGCAAAATGAAAGACCATGTATTGTTAAATCTAAATATATCTTATTCAATTTATCTCTATTTGCAATTTTTGTTCATTTCTTCATTTTCTTTGTCAAGTATTTCTCAGAATCGGTAAGTAATGCTATTTGTTGTGCTTTTTTCATATCTCAGCAAATATCCAGCATCCCAAATGCTCATTTTACTTTCTCCTGTTTAAAATGCATATCAGCAGTAAGATTAAGATACATCTTGGAACAATTCCTCTGTACCCTGAACCTTGCCATAACTTGTATTGCAATATTCCTGGATACCATCATAGAAATAGTCATTCATATTTCCAAGATTATAGATGATTCCATTTACTTTTTCCTTCCTATTATTTTCAGAATTGGCATGCCATTGTTGATTGGGTTGCACAAATAGAGCAAGCTTTGCACCAGGCAATGTGCACTTGTCACACTGAGATCACCCTCCTGGATATGTGGGTGCATGATTCAGGAAGCTTAAAACTGATTTGGTGTGAACAGGTCAATTTACCTACTAATTTCTAGTTATTTTGACCATAATTGCCTTGCCATGTCACCAGTCTCTCATAAAATGTGGAATGAAGAATTGGTCTACCCAATTTTGAAAATCAGTGGGGCCAAGTTTTAAAAATTGTGAACTGTACTTATAATTTAAGGATGAAGTTAATTTATCAGAAATTATTGTTTCCTGACTTCTGGATAAAGAAATGTTGGACTGCAGCAAAGAACAAAGAGTAGACTGGCTCTTCTGAACCTCTCCGGACAAGGAGAGGACAGGATATTGCCCACATGTGCTCTGAACAGTTGCTCCTCACGAGGAGACCACAGGACAGTGGTCCCTGGCAGGTTTTTGAGCATTGGAAGATGACAGGAATAGCTATCTTGGTTGCAACTACGGCTGGTGCCTTTAAAGGACACTAAGTTCACAAACTTACTTTTCTAATCATGTTCAGAAATTGCTTGCTAACTACTTTTAAGCTATTAGAGACCTTCGAATTGACAAGTCTGAAAATGCCAGGTTAGTCTGCCTTCAATCCTTAATGAAAGAAAATTTTAATCATAAGCTTAAGAATTTTTAAAAATT